TGATGCTTTATGAGGGTCATGGCCTTATTTTGTTCCCTATTCTATCTTAAGACTGAACCTAGTGGCTTGAATTAGGCACCATGAAAGATTTGTTGTAAGATTACATGAGAAAAAGAATGAAATGAATAAATAAATGTAGCAAACACATTTGAATACAATGAACGGTCTGGGTGAAACTGAGAGTGTATGGGTCTTAGGCCCAGATGGGTAGGACGATAGGTGGACTCTACTGCATGCTGGCTGTGGGCAAGTGGTCAGACTCAACGCTGATGTCTCCATCAGTAACTGGTCATCAAACTTAGCTCTCTAGCTTTTACTAGTATCATCTCTCTTTATGGTTTATGAATTCCATCTCCTTTCACATTAAATCAGCATTGAAAGTTAGCACAAGAAGTTTCACCATAGGTTTAACTTGATATGTCCAAGGAGTATTCCTGATCAGAAAGCTACCCTTTGGTAATCACTCTTCTTACAGTTTTGTAGGAATTATCTGATTCTAGAGAAAATATTTACTATTTTAAGAAAGTAATAAAAACCTTAATTTAAGAAAGATAGGACTCCAGTGAGCTGAGTCTTAAGGCCAACGCATTAGGTCTACTTCATTTAAGTCAAAATAGCAAGTGAATGTATCCTAGGCCTTCTGTTGGTCTTGGTTGTGGATGGAGGGGGAGCTAGCTGTGGGTGTGGGCACAAGGGCATTCTAGATAAGTTGGCTTCCCATTCACCAAGACCCACCCATTTATAGTTCTACATATTTTCTTATTACACTACAACCATTAAATCATGTTAAAAGCATTGATTGTAAATATAACACTCAAAGTAATATTTCACAAAGTTCATGACTTTTTGACACTTAAAATTTTAATAAAATATTATTGGGTCCTCAAGGACTGTAAGTGGCCTGCTTTCTCTAAAATTGTGAGAGCCTTAAATGCTCTGTAAATTTGGAGGCCTCTTTTGTGGTGATATGATTAGCTTTTTCACAAGATGATAAAGTCTTGCATGTGCTATGGAATTGTTAGGATTCATTTTACATCTCACAAAACTAAATAAAATTTTCTTTGCCACATTGCTTTTTAACCACCCCACCCAGCCATTAGGTGACATCTAACAGTGGGGTTATTGGAGGTTGAACTTGAAGTAAAATTCAGTGTTCTTGAGATGGTGCACTGCTGTCCCAGGTCCTCTGCGCCAGAGACGGGATTGCTCAGGAGCTGTGGTAAATGAGTCTTGACAGGCAGAAGCCTAAGCCACTAAGAATTATCACGTGAGGGGCTGGGGATTTAGCTCAGCAGCAAAGCACCTGCCTGGCAAGTGCAAGGTCGTGAGTTCGGTTCCTGGTACCGGAGAAAAACCAAAAAAAAAGAATTATCATGCGAGACCATTGCTTCTAGCAATTGTGGTCTCTGTGATTTGGACTGAAGTGACTTATTTTAGGAAGATGTTTTTAAGTATCTTTTTTTCTTCTGTCAGTTTTACATATGTAAATATAAATATATATCATTAATAGGCATGTATAAATTTGGAAGCCTTATATCCCCCCAAGAAAATGTTTCCTAATTATGAAGTGATTTTCTATTCCATTAATACCATTTGGTATAATTTGTTCCTTTTCTCTATGGCTTTTCTAGATTTGTTGGGGTTTTCATGAGTTAAACTAAAAATACTTCAGGTGCTACTCCAGAAGTACAGACAATGAGGTCCATAGGATGCCAGAATAACTTCATTTTATTCTGATGTATTTATCACTGATGCTCTGTGATGGGAGACCATGATGTTTCCTGCTCAGTACCGTTCTGGAGTCTCTGTCATCTGAGCAGCTGTTGTAAACGCTATCTTGCTCTGACACAAACTTGCCCCTATGCAGGAGCATCTGATCCCGACTGAGTCAGGGCCATGTGGGAATTAGCAATGGCAGTGCAACTTTAGAGTCACAAGTGTGTGGGCAGGAGTTTAATCTCATAGGAACACAGATCCCATTCAGAGCCTTACCTTTGGTTTATAACCAAAGCCACCCAGTACAGAACCTGAAATTGGTGAGTGCAAGTTGTGAAAGACCACCCACAGGAGGCTCCCAGGCTTTCTAGGTAAACGAGAGTCCAGGTGATGAAAAGCTTTTGCATGACAACGGGGTGACTAAATGAGTGTGGTTAGTCTTGCTCAGGGCTTCATATAACTGTAACAATAATTATGTTTATTTATCACATCTTGTTTTAGTATCTTTCGTAAACAAAAGTAGCTTCAGAGATGGAATTTTTTTTTCCCTTTGTTTTTCTGTCTGTATCTGCAAAAATCTGCCCAGTTTCAACAATATTGTACTACTGTCCTAGTCACTTTCTTTATTGCTGGGATAAAATACCTGACACTTGTAACTTAAGGGAGGAGAAGTTTATTTTGGCTCACATTTTTAGTTCATAATGGGTTGGTTCCAAGGTGGGAAGGCACGGTGGAGGGGTCTGGCAGAGGAAAGTCGCTCATTTCATGACAACCAGGAAGCGGAGAGTCAGGAGAAGAGCCAGGAAAGGAGATAAACCCTTCCGGGTCACGCTCACATTGACTCGCCTCTTCCAACCAGACCCCACCTCCTAACTGCAAATCAGCTGTGACACCTCCATAATCCAATCGCCAGGCGAGGCTTTGGGGAGCGTTTTAGATCTAACTGTAACATGATTCAGCTAGGACTGAACACCAACTCCAGTATTGCAAAAAAAAAAAAGAAGGAAAACAACAATAAGGTAGTTCCTTATTTTGTTTGTTTGTTTGTTTTTGTTTGTTTTTGTTTTTCTTCCAGTACCAGGAATTGAACTCATGACCTTGCGCTTGCTAGGCAGGAGCTGTGCCACTGAGCCCTGGTAGTTCCTTACTTAGCTACCATAATGGGGAAGTGAAATATCCTGCATAAGTATATTTTATAAGTAACTGAATATTATTTCTTTAATTACAGAATCTTAAAAACTTTAAGATTGTTTGATGGAAATTGTTCTAAAACATATTTCATATTTCTATGTTCTACTATATAGAGAAGAAAATACAATGAGACATTCACTCATTTACTGAATATCTAATAAACATACTATGTCCTAGACACTGTGAGAGAGCTGCATGCTATAAAGACACACACACAAAAAAAAGACATCTTGATGCATGGAGGTTATATCTTGGCTTTAAAAAAAAAATCAATAATTCATTTTTTTATTATGGAGACTCATTATACCAGTGATGTTTTCAAATGCTTTTGACCCACTTAGGACTGAACATTTTCACAGCTAATTTCGTAGTCAAATCCAACAAAGTTTTTTGTTTCATGATTTCTAATTCTGGAGTCTTGCATAGTAAGAATTTCTATACTAGTAAGTCATAAGAATATTATTCTATATTTTCTTGTGTTTCATGGTTTTCTTTTCCTATACATAACTGGAGTGTTGCTTTGTATATTGCACAAAGCAGTGATATGGTTTTACTTTTCCTCTTGTCTACAGCTAGTTGTCCAGTTAATATTTAATAATTTTTCTCTTCACCATAGGTTTGTTTGGCCATTATTGTCTCCATGGATCTATTTTTGTATTCTATTCCTATTCCACTATCTATTGATCTGTCCTTGAGCTTCTACCATATTGTTTTTATTATTCTGGCTTTATAGTATAATCTAATACCTGCCTGGTAGAGCCTCCTTTGTTCTTCCTTCAAAGTTGACACAGCTATTTATGCAATTGTGTTCTTCTTTACGTGTTTTAGAAAATCAAGTTGCCAAAAAACATTTATTGTGATTTAAATTGAAATTGTATTACATTTGGGATTTAATTTGAGTATAATTGACATTTTCACTGTAGGACTTTATTTCTCCAAGAACCTGATATGTTGGCTTGTTTTACTTTGATTTTCTTTTGTAACTAATTTAAGTTTTTCTTCCTATAAAGGTCTTGTGCATTCTTTCTTAGATGAAATCCTAAATAAGCATAGGTTTTGTTGCCCTTGTAAGTGGCATGATATTTCTAATTGCCTAATACTGGTATAGAACAGTTCTACTGAACTTTATAAATCACTCCCCTTTCTAGATTCTTGAGTTGAATACATAAGATTTGTTTTCAGTCTTTTTTATTTGCTAGTGCATGTATTCAAACTAGAAATTTTGAAGTACTTACTTAGCCATGTTCCAAAAACTTGGCAGGTAATATTTTCTTATCTCTCAGTTCTGAGAATTTTGTAATTTTTCTTATGGTATTCTTTTTAACCCAAGTGACTTAGTAATATATTACTTAAGTTTTCCAGCCATATGAGATTATAAAATACTCTATTGCTGAATTCTAATTTTATTATATGAGATAATATGATCTGAATACTATTGTTTATTTGGACTTTAGCACATAGTTTTGTTTTCTCAAAAACAGCATGTATTCTTTGCTGGATATGTTTCTCAACATCTGTTAGTTTGAACTTACTAATCATGTTATTCAAATCCCCTATAATTTTTGCTTTTTAAACATCTTGATTTAAAGATTTGTGAGAGAGTTGTGAAAATCTGCAATTATAATTTTAATTTTCACTGTATAGGATGACATGATATGTATTTATTGGAGACACTCTCAGGTATACGTATGCTCATTGTCCTTACTTCTTCAATTTACTATTCCTTTTACCAACATATTATTTAACCCAACCATGGGGTTATTAGGTGTAGGAAAATTCTAGATGGTATAAATATGAAAGGATTCTGTGACCAATCATACATAAATGAGGGGCTGGGGATTTAGCTCAGTGGCACAGCGCCTACCTGGCAGGTGCGAGGTTGTGAATTCTATTACTCGTATCGGAAGAAAAACAAACAAACAAACAAACAAAAAACGTATATAAATGAGAAGGTGGTTCATGGGTAACTCTCTAGATTTGACTTGAGAATCTAGGGTGGATGGTGTCTTAGTCCATTTGGGCTGTTGTGACAAAATCCTATAGAATAAGTAATGTATAAAGAATGAAAGTTAATTTTCTTACAGTCTGGGGCCTGGAAAATTCAAGATCAGAGTTTGGCTATTTGGTGAAGGCTGCTCTCTGCTACCAAGATGGCACCTTGTTGTTCTGTCCTCTGGCAGGAAGAATCCTGGGTCCTCATTTAGCAGGAAGCAGAAGGTCAGGTGAAAGGGTGCTTAATGCAGTGGTAAGTTTCTTTCATAAAGGTTTTGATTCCATTCACGAGAAGTACTGTCATGACCTAATCATAACTCCAAGCTCCAATATCTTAATACCATCATATTAACTTTTAGCACCTGAGTTTGGGAGGGAACATATTCAAACCTTAGCAGCTGGTAATATTAATTAGCACAGTACAATAGAGGGAAGGTTTTGAAGGCAGAGAGGGGTAGAAAAGTTGAGATGGGTAAAAATTCATTCATTTGTATCTTCATTAAGTAAATATTTACTAAGTGCTTCGTATATGACAGGCACTAAACTAGGCATATTAAAGATGTTCAGGGTAGATTTAACAGAAATTGACTCCAAAGTTACACCAAAGATTTGTTAATGAAGGACCAAGTCAAAGTACAAATCATCATGTACACGTTCATATGCAAGCAATTGAATGTAGAAGGCTTTATGTAGTATGTACTGGATATTCAGTTCAACAAAATCTTCAGTTGTCTCTAGAAAATTTCCTAGTAACAGAGTAACATGATGTATAAACTACAACAGTATTGAAAAATTTAAAAATACAAATTTAGTCTTGTATCTGGAATGATTATGTTAGAATCAGACTAGACCTACAACACATCCTTTTCAAAGGCATAAAGCAATAGTCTTTAGGATTCCTTGAGCATGTGATGTACTTGGATTCTGGATTAAAAAGCATATGCTTGGACGGTCTCCTTAGAGATTCAGGAAGCCTGGAATGAATGTAAGATTCCATATTTAACAAGATCCGTAGCTGATTATGATACCTAAACTATATTTTGAGAAATGCTGCTATCACCTCTTATTAATTCAAATTATAGTTTGTTAGCAAACAACTAAAGACAAGCAGACAAACCAAAACAAGAACTTACTGCTTTTCAGGCTGAGAAAGGGGAGTTGGCCCTTACCTGTGAACTTACTTGCACTTGATCTTGTTTAAGAACAGATTTGCTCCTTAAATATATTTAGAATATTTTTTGTAATGTGCTAATAATCTAACAGAAATAATCTTTAGACATTTAGAAAATATTTCTAGCTGCACAGATAGTTTCCAAGCTGGTCTTGTTTCTGTACGTGCATAAAGCCTTTAATTTTTACTCCCAGAAAGTCTTCTTTTAGTGTGCTCGGACTCTGTGATGTCCAAGTTCTTTGCTAGCTCCTTCTATTGTGACAGGCACATCTTACAGATAGTTTCCTAACTTAGAAAAAAAAAAGTCATGAGCAGTCTTTGTAGTTTTCCTTTTCTGCCAAAAAATATAAAAATTTATTTGACCCTGCCAAAATTTTATTTCCTCCTATAGAAACTATTAGAAATGTAAGGTAAGACATAGTACCTTTGATTTCTGGAAGCATGTTGGGAGTATTCTGAGGGAAAACTCCATAGCAGCTCCTTTTCCACAAGATATTATTTTTTTTCCTTCCTCACTTAGGGAAACTACCTCTAACTTGCTTCTTGCTGACAACTAAAGCAGGTTTGGGAAACTATTCAACTTTAATAAGAGACTCTGTGTAGATTAAGACTGGCTTAAATTCAGAATTGTTTTAGGATTAAGGAGCACAAACAAAATTGAAAATGAGACGAAAATGGAGCCAAGTTTAATACCCACAGTATGAACAGGGTAACAAAAACAATTATATATTAATAGACATGAACACTCTATGGTAGGGAAATTGTTCTGAATAGATAATATAATGATTAAGCATATAGACTAGCCCATTGTATTTAAGCCAGTTAGAAAATTATAAAAATTTATGGGCGTGCAACATACAAGTGATTTTTCATAAAATATCCTGAGTTGACAACTAGATTAAATGGAAAAACATGTAGAAGATTGGAAGAGGGCCATTGTGAATGGAAAAGTACACACTGAAATAGAAATTAGTGTCATGAAACATGAGATTGTTGGAGGACTTGGATTTAATTCAACAATAAAGAAGAGATTCTTGCTGTTGCAAAATGAGAGTTAGGAGACTCAGAAAAGGCTAGGAAACAAAGAGGGACACAGAGGTGCTTATGATATCACAAGCTAGGAGCACACAAGTATTTAAGAAAAAGCAACTGCTGTGTGTTGATGACTATATTTAGAGATTAGATCCTAGACGGTCTCATCTGCTGATCTAATAATGGCTTAGCAAAATATTAGATCTTTGCTCATTTTGAATTGTTGGGGCTAAATCTAGGTCAGATACTGCCAGTCTTTTCTAAATATTTATTAACTGCTTGATTGATTAATCGCTTGGGAGTCTTGACAGGGATTGATACTGACTTTACTGGCTTCTCATCCTTATACTGCATTTTTTCCTTTTCCTAGAAAACCATAGTAGCCTTTGCCAGGCTTAATCTGTGGCTATTAGAAAACGTATATTGAAACAATGATGAGATACCTCATAACATCGAATAGCTAAAATCATAAGGATCAATTATGTCAAGTGCTGGCCAGAACATAGAAGAACTGAAACTTATACAGATACTGCTGGTGGCTTAAAACTACTTTGAAAATAGTTTAGCAGTGCCTTGGAAAGTTAAATGTATTCTTACCATAGGATCCATCCATTCTACTCTGAGGTATTTATCCAAGGCCATTGAAAACATGTACACAAAGACCTTGTATGTAAAAGTTCAGAGCAGTTTATTTGTACTATAGTAGCCAGAAACTCGAAGCAACCCTAACATCCATCAACAGGTGAATGGAGAAACTCAGAACGGTAGCTCTACACAATGAGGTCTCAGTACACAATGAGGAAGAAAGAACTATTGTTATATGCAACAACATGAATGAACCTGGAGCTGGGAATTTTGCTCAGCGGCACAGTGCCTGCCTGGCAAGCGCAAGGTCATGAGTTTGATTCCTGGTACTGGAAAAAAAAAACAAAAAAACCAACCAAGCAACCAAACAAAAACACATAAATGCACCTCAAAATAAGTAGCGGGAAAGAAAGAATCAGAATGAAAAAAAGAGAAGATAAACTCTTTATATATAAATATATGTATATTTTAATTCTAGAGAATCTATTGCATCAGAAAAGAATTCAGTGGTTTCTGGTGACAGAGTGGGGCAGGGAGGGAAAGGAGAAATCACAAAAGGCAAAAGGAATTGTTGGGCAAATAATAGTCATTATCTTGATTGTGACAGCTATTTCAGGAATATATACTGTATTTGTACATACATGTCACAAGCCATCAAATTTCATCTTTAAATATCTTCAGTTTATTATAGTTGTGCCTCAATAAAGCTAAAACAAAAGGAAAAAAATCATAGAATCTTCTCCTTTTAACACTGGGAAAGGAGAGAATACATATCACAACCTTATATACAGATGCTCCTTAACTTACAGTGGGTTTACATTCCAATAAGCCCACCATGAACTGAAAACACTGTAAGTCAAAATGCACTAAACACACCAAGCCCACTGAACACCATAGCTTAGCAGCACAGCACCCCTCAGCTTGTTCACTTCTATTTCCTTTTACCTGAGCATGGACCATAGCCAAAGGTTATGCAGTATAGGTCTTCAAGTTTGGCCTTCAGATCAGCAGCATGGATGTGAGCCCCAGTAGTTTCCCCTTGTGATCCTGCGGTTGACTGGGAGCTACAACTTGCTGCCAGTGTTCAATATCGTGGGAGAGGATAGGGCTGTGCATTATTAGCTGGGAAAGATCAAAATTGAAAGTACAGTCGAATGTGCATCACTTTCACACCAGTCTGTGGCTGGAAGACAGAAACATCAGTGTCTCAGGGTCCCTGCTCAGATTGACTCCACTTAGATGTTCTGGTACCAAATATATAATTAGTGGCTGGGGAGTAAGTTAAAGTATATGATGACCATAAAAGTTTGGTTGGTGAGAGCCATAAAAATCGGTCTATACTAGAAAACATGATCATGTAGTTAGTGCTGAAAGAGATGAAGACGTGATCTGACAGGAGATTCTTCACACTGATGACAAACTATAGTGCTGGACGGCATGGACATCTGTTTCTGCTCTGAAATTTGCTGATCAGGTACATAATTGCAGGTAGGCATTGACTTGTGTGGAAAGCCCAGCTCTTATACCCCTTCCTTTCCTAGCCTCTTCATTGATTACCTGCTGTTTGGACCCAAAGTGTTTTCCTCCCAATGGCTCTTAACCTGTGATCTGTATTTTAAATGGGGATCCTGAGATCGGCCAAAATATTCAGGTCTCAGGCCAGGCCCACTAGTATGCATTTTCTAAATAGGTGCCATGGGAAAAAAGGCCTGAAGAGCTTGCTTTACACTCTAGCCAGACTTTAAAAGGGATATCCCCATTATTTCTCCAAGTTGCTAGACTGTTAAGTCTCCTAACACCACCTCAACACTGTACCAGTGTATTAAAATATAGGTATTATATTAGTGCTTGCAAGAGAACAGATTAATGAAGGACACATAAATTTATAAGATTATCTTACAATATTCACTCACAAAGTCAGAAGTAGAAGAGTGCAAGAGATCTGTCCACATACTAGAGATCGGGAGAATCCAGCAGAAGGCCTGGAGCCCACTGTGAGCTCCTATCAGGGGGTCAAGGAACCCTTGAAGGAAGACTGAAGGGTCTGTGCCAGAAAGCCCAAGGGATGGTGCTAGAGGCTGGAGCATCTACACTGGAGCCGGAAGACATGCTCAAGAGGAAAGGGAAGACCAGAAAGCCTCTGAGGACAACAACAGCCATCCTTAGCAACAGCAAGGACCGCAGCTCCTCGAACAATAGCCAAATTTCCCTCAAGAGAAGAAAACAGCCAAACTTCTCCAGGAAAACCAGCATGAAATCCTCCTCTGCAGTTCTCCTTTTTTTTTTTTTTTTTTTGGTTTTTCTCCGGTACCGGGAACTGAACTCACGACGTTGCGCTTGCCAGGCAGGCGCTTTTGCCACTGAGCTAAATCCCCAGCCCCTTGCAGTTCTCCTTTTATGCCCTTGGCAGCTCAGGTGGGTCTTCCATGCCCAAAACCATGCTGACTCAATTCACTGGGCATTCC